GTTCGATAGCATGCTGACTAACTTGTGACATATACCTGTCTTCGTGACTAGTATGTGGTTAGTCAGTCTGCATGAGAATCTCAAGCTATTGAGCCCAAGAATTCAGCGTCATGCTGACCTTCTATTCAGAGTTACAATTAGTATTAGTTGTAGGGAAGATATCGGACTAATGAATCTGCTACTAAGCAGCACTCTATACCGCAAGGTAGTCGGAAAGAAGAGGTATTCTTCCTTCTTGAAAGTATTTAATGACTGATACACATGATTTTGCTATTAGATGGCAAAATATTTTATTAGTAAAGATTTAAATTAAAATCTTGGTAAAAAAAATGATCAGATCTTTGGTTAGACTCTTTCTTTAGGTTCTATCGAGATTTACTTGTAGATAAAAGATAAATTAAGAACATGATGATAGTTCAAAACTTTCCATAGGATGAAGCCTATTTTCTTTTATTTTTGTTCTTTGCTTAGATCACGCAATCGTTTGACAGCTGCTGAATTTTCCGCTGGAGATCCTCAACATGTAGCTCAACTTACACAAATGGGAATTCAAACTCAAACTATGGCTGATGGTCGTAAGAAATCAAATATCTTTTTCTTTTTACTTTTATATATGATGTTTTTTTTACTTAGGTATTCAATTGGTTCATAATTCGGCTAATGCTGCATCAAATGAGGATGCTGATGATGGTCTTCTTTTTATACAAGAAATGATGGAATTAATGAAAAATGTTAATGGAATAGGTCAATCATCATCAGACACTAGACATCATTTACCATTAAGTGTTATTCCATTAGTAATCTCACCATTAACAAAATTAGTTAGTTTTACCGTTGGTTCTGCTCAATTTGGTAAACAGTTACATGGAAAAGCAGGAGTAAGTAATTAAATAAAATAATATTTCAGTTTTTTTTCTCTTTTATTCTTCATTTGTTTTAGATATTTGCTCAACTATATGTTGCTCAACCATTTTCTGCTTGTTCACAATTATTCTATCCTCATCATCTTTATTCACGCATTGGTATTGTTCGTCGTGGTGATTGTATGTTTATTGAAAAAGCTCGTCAATTAGAACATGTTCAAGCTATTGGAGGTATTGTTATTGATCATAATGCCTCATTAAAATCATCGAATGGTGCAATATTTTCTATGACGGGTGATGGAAATAATAATGTACATATTCCATTTGTATTAATGTTTAAAGATGAAGCATTTCAATTATTACATCTTGTATCAAAACAACCAAATTTAATTGTTTATATTGGTGAAGAAAAACTTTTAAAAGAAAGTTTTTATCAACAAATGGAAATTTTAGAAAGTTTGATAGAACCTTTTAATCAAACAAGTAGAAAATGGATTTATGGACAAATTGAATGGTTTAAAAAGAAAAATTTATGTCAAATTGTACCAATACAATTAAAACAATTAGAATTAACTATTCATCAAGAAGATAATCATGTTGAAACTGAAATTATGAACAAACAACCAATAATTCAATTTGAACATATTATTGAAGCTAGTAAGAAATTTTCTTTTTACACAAGATTCTTTCTTTTGTGAATATAATATCTAAATTGAAGTTTTATAGAATATAATTATTTTCAAAAAATTCTTATGATTTGTTATTCAATTCTTTCATTAGCATTATTTATAGATGAATTTCTACTGAATGTTGGATAGATTTAGATATGTAGAATAGATGTCTGATTAATCTTGTTCTTCGAGATTATAATTAAAAGACATATACTTCGTATATTTTGTGAAACACGATCTAAAAAGAGTGTTGAAGTATAAGAATAAAAATTTGGCGGTACTCTCTTCTCCCCATAGACTATGACAGATGTTGTTGATATATGATCAAAGACTGTCTATCAATAATGTCTCGTTATGCCATATGAATTATATTCTTATTGTATTTCTGGAGGATTAAGTAAAAGGATGATGAGGAAATGTATCCTAATAAAATAATCTCCATATGATTAGCAACAACTTTTCTTTAGGATTGAGATTGTATGCATTCTTTAAAAAACTTATTTTTCAAGCAGTTTAATGATGAAAATAACAACAGAGATGCAAAATCTGACGCTAAGATAACAAATTTCTCTCAATGAAGAGAAATTCTTCAAAAAATTAGGATTAAAAACCACATTGATGTCTTTTTTAAACATACATACAGTCAGCGCTAAATATTCCACTACCAGGTAAAAAGTACGTAAATTTGAATCTTTTTTCCTTGATATTTTTTACTACGAACAGACCTTGCATTAATCCAAGATCGATCAGATTGAGAAAAATACACTATTTTTTTCTTGGGCCTGAGAAAAAGATTTTTGAAACGTTGATATTAATCCTTTTATGGATAAATAAAGCTCCACATTATTTAGGACGGTCTTCGCATAGGTTTGCGTTCCACCAATAGTTATAATCATGAAATTGTCAGGAAATACTTGATTAGAGTAAATAACTCATTGGAAAAAAATTCAAGTTACTTTTTGATGAATTCTATCAACTCTCATACTAAGAATATTCAACGATAACTTCATAAATCAAGAAAACTATAATCGTTTGACATAAGATTTTTATTGACGTTCTAGCTTCTTCGCTTAAAGACCGATCAATTCCTCATTTCTGCTTGCTGTCTGGGTTCATCGTACTCTATTTCTCTTCAAAAAATGAGACCAAAGGATTCACGTTTAGATAGATACTTTTTAGCTGATAGCAGAACTTTTGATGGCTACTATACATTTAAAAAAACAAAATAGATCTCATCAATCATCAATTAATTCTGATAGGCTTAGTATTTGTTCATCCCAGAAATGATGTATTTCAACTGAAATAAAGCATAATTAAAAGTTTTTTTAATACTAGCTGTCTCCATTTGTGATGGAGGCAGAAAGAGTGAGAGTGAGTAAGTTAACGAAGTAAGCTAACTCGTTACCATACCTTTGACTATCCGGTCTCGATTTATGATAAACACTTATTTTCAGGACATAAGAATGTAATATAGAACATAAATGTGGACATATACGGTTAGATTTTGTTCACTTGAAAAAAACATCTGAATCTTTAAGTTTTTGCATTGTGTGACATTCTAAAGAGATTTTTCTTTCTGGAATCGTCATCATATGAAACAGTTTTTTTTCGAATCTTAAAATTCCTGAAAATTCTCCTTAATTAGTTTCTATTAAAACATATTTAATGATTCTGAAGAAATTAAAATATGAATCACAACAGAACTTTCACAATAAGATATGAAATGTTTCTCTAACTATTTAAACATTAGGAAAAAATTGTTCATAAAATAATATATAAAATTTTAATGAAATACTTTTTTTGGATGGAAGCAAATGATGTTAGAAAATGAAATTCAACGCTGAAATTATCTGTTGAAAACTAGAGTTTCACTGATGCTTCTATTTCTTATCATTAAAATATTTGTAATAAAAATTTTTCAAAATTTCTTTTAGACGAAAATAAATCTGCTGAAGAGATAACTTCTGAACTATTGAATAGTCTTAATTTAACAGCAGCCAATTTTGGTGGTCAATTAAATAATATTGATTCATATCGTCCAGCATTTGATAAAATGATTCGAACAGCTCTTGCTAATGGTGGTGCTAATGAATCATTTAAATCAAATATCACAGTTAAACAAGAACAACAAATTGAAATTCCTGTCGAAGTTACTACAACAACAACAAATCAAGAAGAAAGTCAACAACAAACAACAACTACAACACGAACAACTGATACTCGAGAATATACCGAAAAAAGATCAAAAAGAAACGATATAAATTAAGTAATATAATGCATAATTTTTTGATTTTATTTTATCACCGGTGGTGTCTGATTATTATTGTGGTTCCATTTTCACTTGTTTTTCTAGTCGAGTTATTCGTTTCAGTGGAACGACTCTATCGAAAAAAAAACTTCCGTAACCAAATAAAATATATATGAGTTTTGTTCGACAGTTATTCTTTTCATTTGTCTTCTTCCTGTTTTTTTTTTTTTTTTTGTTATTAATAAAATATATCGATGACTCAAAGAAAAAAAACTCAATGAATATATTCTAAACTTGATGAAATAAAGTTATGTGATTAATTGATATCAACTTTCAACGACGAAAAACAAATGTCACTAATCTGTTGTTAGATATAATCTATTCGATCGTATTATTGATTTGGCCCTGATCATATCGACAATATCATTAAGCGTAATGCATTTGATCTCCTTCATGTTGGACGAGATATACATGTAACGTTTATTTAGCTATGTTTCATAATGAACTACTGCTTCCATAATTTTTGAAAGTGAATATGTACAATGGAAACATTTGTTTTCAGCAGTTTCCTTATCTCTTATTTATTGTTATAAAATCTAGCCGTTAGTTGTCTTGTCATGTATCAATCATCTTTAATAAAAATAGGATAATTGAAGTAAGATAAAATATCGATAGAAATCAATATTGTGTACATGTGCTTCATGGCGGTGTTAATAGTCAATTAAAATTTCGAAAATAGTTATAGAGATTCGGTTTTGTGATCCAAGTAGAATATAAACTTTTGCTACATCCGGTATATACTTAATTCAGTAGAGTTTATGATGCCCATAGATAAAATACTGTATAAACTACGCATAGATTGTACTAATAATACAACATGATCTCATATTGTCTTTGAAATAAATCTGTCCAAGAACTTTTTGAATATCCTACATATACTATAAAGTTCAAAATATTTTTTTTTTAGAAAAATTATTTCTATAATTGTTGAATGTGATAAAAAAGAATTTTTAACCAATATTAACATCTAATAGATAATTTCGAACTTTATCAAAATCTTCTTTCAAAGAATTAAATCTCTCGTAAAAACAAAAACTAATGTTCTTCTGTAACTTATGCAACGTATAAAAACACACAAAAAAAAACAATAATTACATAAAAAAGAAATAAAAAATCAGTAAACACAAAACAACATCGTTGTTGTTTTTCTTTTTTCTACTATTTAATCATTTCTTTAATAAGTTTATTAATTGTTTGTTCATCTAACCGATGTACACCAAATAAATGTCGTCGAATACTTTTTCGAGTAATTTCTTGTGTTAAACATGGTGTATTTATAATATCATATCTTGTTGAAAGTGGACATTTTACTTTATGAAATGGATCATATAATGTTAATGGTGTATCATTAATAGATGAAAATAATTTTATTTCATATGGATCTTGTTGATGAATAATTGCTCTTACAAGACGCATTGATACTTCACCTGTAAAACCATGTTTTGAATGAAAATGTTGATAAAGATATATATTTTTATTTAAATTTTTTGATGACAAACAAAGTTGATGTTGATGATAAGCTTGAATTAAACCAAATGCTCCATCAAATGTTAATGGACATTGACCACAGTATGAACGACACGTTATAGATCGTTCAAATTTTTTCTTTGAAATCTATTTCATTGAAAAAAAGAGAGACAAATTATTTTACAAAATTAAATATATTTAATTATACATTTCTTTTTTGTTTGATATTATAATTTGAATCTTCATTTTTATTTATATATTTCGTCGAAATAGTTTCTAAAAGAAAATTATCTTAAAAAATTTCGATATAAGTTACACTTTTATTACTTGGTTCTTCTTTTATTTTTGCATTAAAATCTAAATAGATATTAATAATAATGATATGATATTGTTCTTTTTTTTAAACAAAATACTTACTTTCACTATTTTTCCATGGTGTTATTTCATTCCACCATTCGATTTCTTTTTCATATCTAAATTTTAAAATAAAACAAACACAATAAATTTATAAATAAAATTCCTACATTTTCGATTCAGTCATTTCTTGATTTTCATTAGAACCTACAAATAAATAATTAAAATATTCGTTCTTTTTTCTTTTTTACTTCCTATAAAACAGTAGTATCCCGAGTGGGCTACTTTCCTCTCAAAATCTTCTAGTCGATTTTCTTCGTCATTGATCCGCCCACTATTCTGGCGGTCTGGGACACTCCTGTTTATAAAACTTACTGATTGTTTCGTTTAACATATTTTCTTCTAATTGAATAGAATCATAAAGATTCGTTTCTGATCTATGATATTCATCATGATTTGTACATTCTGTTAAAAGATCAGAAAAATTTTCATTTTCATCAATATCTGAATCTGGATTTATAGCTAAATAACAAAAAAAAAAAAGAAACATATCTACATGCTATTCTCTATGAAACAACACACTTGATGATGATGTATAATTCATTTCTTGTTGATCATCTTCTATTGTTTGATGAGAAAGCCAATGTTTGTAACATAACATTTGTCGGCAATGTGTTTTACAAAGAAAAACAAGAATTGGAGAAGCACCCAAAATAGGAAAACATATTGATTCAGTACAATATCCTCTCCCAGAAAACATCTAAAACATGATATAAATAGTCAGATATACATCACGTGCTTCATTTTGACCTGATTATATAATACATTTGAAAATCGATGACGGACGATCGAAAGAAAAAGAAAAATAAATATATATGAAAATGCACGCAAACATTCCTATAAGCTTGAATTGCGTTCAAAAAAAGAAATTAAATTTATTCATATTAATGTACTGATAAGAAACAAAGAATTGAATTAATAGAGAAAACAAATATCTTGAATTTTATTGATTTCTTTATTGAATCTAATCTTAACTATATTTTATGGTTCAAGCTTTTTCTTTTTATGGCGGAAAATATTTGAGTGCAAAAGATAATTTTTAACAGATGGGACAAAAGTTCTGTATTAATTTTGTTTTCTATATTATGTCGCAAGACTATTGTACCGATTTCATCATTACTTTTTTATTATAAAGAGCAAAATCATCAAAAAAAAATCTGTATCGAATAGTGTTTCCAATATTTAAAACTAAGTTTTGTTAAATCATTCCTAATCATAGGATGAGTAAAATCAAGAAAAAAAACTCTCGAATAAATATCGAGACTTGATGCTTTTGGCATATTTCAATTTTCAAAGACTTATCTGATTGTTTTTTTTTAACTTAATTTTTCAATGTTTCACTATAGCTGTGTATATATGATGCTGGAAAATACCACAAGTGTATAATGATACAATTTAAACAAATATATTTCGATAAACAAACTTGCGAAAAAATTTTTCTATACCATTTGTTCGAATATTTTTGTTGTCATTCGAAAATACTTTCGATGAGATTCTTTTATATGTTTTTGCACTAGATATTTTAATTTTGCTAAGAAAAAAAAGGACGAAGCCTCTACAATATTGCATTGCAACTCTATATTAAAAATAGAATTAATGTAAAACTTTTACCCCATGCATTATATACTATTCAATAAATATTTAGCCACCATAGCTGACAAGAGAACATCTTCAGCAGCCTGTTTTCAATTTCATTGATGTTTTGCCTATAGATAATACTACATAACGTTCTGATAGAAACTCTCAAAGGATTTAAGTTCGTATTGAGATTTGATTAAGTTATCGAATTTTGATTTGAAACTTTATGCATATAGAAAACTCAACTAGAGTAGCTTTCATAAAAAATCTAGAAGTTTTGAAGAAAACCTCACATATCGAAAAGATTTTTTTCAAAATTTTTTGAATTCTTTTTATAGAAGCTAATTCAGTTGAGTTCTCTATATGCATAAAGTTTCACATCAAAATTCGAAAATACGAGTCTTCCAAAAACCTGGGGCCTCTGGAAAATGTTCATATTAAAAATCCAATAGCTCAGTCAAATCTCAATGAGAATACAAATCCTTTTAAGATTTTTATTCGAGTATTATGTAGTATCTATTTACAAGGTAATGTATTCAAACCTTAGTACGATCGACCATGACATGATTCTGAGAAAGTCACTAACAGCTGTTCGTCTCGGATCATCCGTCCGATAGCATGCTGACTAAGTTGTGTCATAGATCTGCTCTTGTGGTTAGTTCGTGTGTATGAAAAACTCAAAACTAATCATAGCTGTAGGAAAGATATCAAGCTATTGAGTCTGCTGCTAGACAGAACTCCATCGTGCAAGATAGCCGAACGGCAGAAGTGTTCTTCTTCTGTTAATTATATTTATAAAGATCTGTCTACACATATAATCCAACTTCGTATCATAAAATTCCATAGTTTAAATTCGTATTCAATACAATCACTAGTTAAGTATTATTTGCCACAGATAATTCTTTCTGTTTATTAAGTTTTCTCTGAGACTCTTTCAATTAAATATATATATCATTTCAAACAAATATTAAATTACAAAATATTAATTTATTGCTTCTTCATATTTGAGATCAATCATTTTCACCAGTTTTATTAAATAATTCTCTCTTTTTCTATGTTAGATCATATTCAACAAAAACAAGAAGAAAAACAAAATAAATAAAAATTTATCTCTATATATACATTTTTTTACTGCATAAAATTCTTGTTTTTCCTCCTACACAACAATAATTCGTTCTTCAATTAAATTTATTCCATCATTATTTTCATCTCCACCATCATCATCATCATCAGCTAAACTTAATTCTTGTCCTGTACTTCTTGTTGGTTGTGATTGATGAATAAATTCAGTTAACGTTCTTTCAGTACATTTAGCAATAAAACGTATTAATGGTCGAACATCACCATCATTAGCTTGATCTAAATATGAATAATAAGCTAAACGATCAGATTTTTTAATAATTACTGGTGGAAAGCCAGATCTCATTAAAATTAAGTTCATTAATAAACGTCCTGTTCGACCATTACCATCAATAAATGGATGAATATAAACAAATTTATAATGTGCTATAGCAGCTAATTCAATGGCATGAAGATCTCGAGTATCTTCTAATGAATTAAGCCAAAAAAGAAAATCATCAAGATAACTTGGTACTTCATCAGCTGCAGGTGGAACAAATGATCCAACATAAACTTGATGTTGACGTAAATGACCAGCTTCAATTGGATCAACAAAACCTAAAACTCGACGATGTATTTCAAATATATCTTCACTTGTTATTGAACCAAGACGATTAACTAATGTACAATTAACATATTGTAAAGCTAAATCAAGACCAAGTACTTCTTGTTGTTCAATAAGAGATTTTCCTCCAATAGCCATACGTGTTTCAACAATATGTCGTGTTTCACGAAGATTTAATGTATTACCTTCAATAGCATTTGAATGATAAATATGTAAATAATAAGCATCACGTTTAGCTCGTCGTAAATAAGGATTTGTATCAGGTATTCTATAGAGCTCTTTAAGAAGATTATCAATAAAAGTAAAATGTTTTTGATCAATTTCTTCAACTAATGGTAATGTACGTTTCTTTAATTCTAATGCACGAGGATTTGTTGGTTGTTTAACAAGTGCACGTGTATATAAATTTTCAGCACGTATTAAATCATTATGATGATATTCAATAAATTGTCCATATTCAACAAGAATTTCCGAATTATATGGATCAAGTGTTAGAGCATGTTCAAAAACTTTACGGGCTTTTTCAAATTTATTTTCAGCTATTAAACGAAGTGCTAAATGAAGTGCAGTTTCGGCTTCTTGTCGAAGGTCTATTTGAAGAAAAAAAAAAAACAAGATTTTATGGATTATTAGAATTTATTGAAAATAAAGTACTCTGTCAGATAAGATAATCGTCCTTCTTTAGAAAAATCAACCTATAACTTATTGACGAGCAAATTATGATGCATCAAACGATATACGGGAGATTATACTTTCATCAAGTTTTAATGTTCTGAAAAGCTATATACTGCTTGAAGTATATTATAGTGATTATTAATAATATGACTCAGTATGTCTTCAAGTCAACGTTTATGAAGTTTTTTTTGAACGATAATTTTAGACTTGCATGATGTTTTATTATCTTAAATATTATGCTTTTGGATAAAGCGACCTGCCATGCAGTTTTCTCAGAAAAATGTGCACTATTAAGCTCTGTAACAATATCAATCTATTATCCTTTGAATTAAAGTGCATTATAGTTAAATCAGCACAATTAATTCCTAAAATTCAAACTTCTGGAGAGTGATACAGAATATGGAGAATTTCTCAACTTTCATAAGAAAGCGAACAGATATTAAACCTCATAGAACTCCATCATCTAATCTCAGAATTGAAATACATAAAGAACAAAAGAAGCAAATTAGCTTATTATTATTAGGTGGAAGATTTCTCATTTAAGAAATATTTACCACGAAGCCGATATACATGGAACAATAGATTGATATAGTTATACAGTTTGATAGCACACATTTTCTGAGAAAATTACATGGCTGGTCACTTTTTGCTCTAAGACACACTACCTAGAATACGAAAACATCATAAAAATCAAAAATTACAGAAGCCACCAAAAACATAGTTGTGATAATTATTTTATATACACACTTGAAGACCAAATAAAACTCTATTGAAATAGCTTTGAAAAAATTTTTACATCGGTTGGCTTGGAAACATAGTGAGTCATAAAAGTCGGTCATATTACTCAAAATTACTATTATATCTTTTAACTGGTAAATGGCTTTTCAATACCGTTAAAGCTTGATGAAAATGGGACTTCATATACATCATTTGATGCGCCCCGAGTTGCTGTATAAAATACAATAGAATAGCTTTTCAAATGAAGGATGATCATCTTATTCGATAGAATTTTTTACCACTGGAAATATTTTCTTGTTCTGATTGATCTTTCATATATTTTCGTTTTGTATTTAAAGATTTTTCTTGTGAAAAATGTTTTTGTAATTCATGATTTTGTTGTGAAGAACATTGTAAAGATGTTAAATCAGGTGGAAAGAAAATATTCCTGGGCGTAAGTAAACTAAGTGATGATGATGATGATGATGATATTGATGATGGAGAAGTTTTAATAAATAAAAAACGTATTAGAATATGAAGAATAATGGAACTAAAAAATGAGAGAAGAAGAAAAAGGCACATTGTCGTCAGAGATTGACGACAATCGATTGAACGCCATCGTTCGACAAAAGGATAAAGAATGCGACATTGGATAATACGATAAACTAATGGCATTTATTGTAGAAGTTTTTGATTTTCTAGTTAAAAACATTATATATTGCGTACAAAGTTGTACTAGTAATTAGTCATATGAAAACTATTTAAATAGTTTCATGAATCTAGAAAACAAAAACAAAATTCGTAATACAAGAAATAATTTGCTTGACTATTAAACTATTTTAATAATCATGAAAATTTAATACCAGACAATGCTCCTTTTTTTTGTTCTCTTTTATGGAACGATTTTTCTAATTGAATAACAAAATATAAAAAGAAAAACTATGTAGTTTTATTCGTTTTTTGTTGTTCAAATAATTCTTGTATTTGTTGTGTTGCTGTCATTTGTGGATATTCCATTTCGATAAGATCTTTATCTGGATATGTTCTTGTTATTAGGTCATTTGGTTTATTTGTAAATGGTGTCCATATACCTTGTATTGATGGAGAATCTGTATGCATTTGTTTTAATAATCTCCATTGTGGATCACCTTGTTGTGTTAATAATGAATGTACCCACCAATTAATTTGTTGTCGATCACAATTCGAAAGTGGTATCCATTGACGATCACCACTTAAATATTCTCCAATTAAATTTGGTGCACGATGACGACGTGGTTGAACATAAACAACAACATATGGATGTTGACGAGCAAAATTCATTAGATCATTAGCAATCCATTCTCGTGTACCATAAGATGTACGAAATTCTTTACATACTTGTATAGTTAATCGTTGTAATTGACAAACATATCGAGAACCAAGACCATTTTTTAGATGAGTTGAAATATATTTTGCTGGTGTGACATCATCGAATGAATGAAATGAACGAATTGATTGAATAGGTAATGAAATAATACGCCGAAGAAATTGAGACATCTAAATGAAGAAAAAATGAATAGATTTTAGAAATTCAACTTTATTTTTATTATTGTTATTTTACATTTAGTATGTGAAAAAAAAAAATTGCAGTGTGTGTATGCGTGTATGAATAGGTTATAAGAAACTTTACTAATGGTAAAAAATAGTCCATCGATTGAAAGATATCATAGAGGACGCTAATCATCGCAATGATTTCTATTGCCTTCAATCCAGTAGTGTAACCAGGCGGTGTCTAAAAATGCTCAGCCGTTCTACAAAAGTATGAATCCATCTACAAACGATTGACATCAAGGTTTTACTCAGCGCGAGAGCCGAGGAGATGCCGTTGTATCATCAACTATGTGTTTGTACTCTCAAAAATACGTGTTCACCCTGTGATAGTTTTTGATCACCTCACCGAAAGAGAACATCTAGATAAAACAGTGGTTGACATCTGCTTACAAAAGGACTTGAGCCTTCTCTCGGAGAGTAATCATAGAAGTCTCTACTCCTTCTATATAGATCCAGTCAAGAGATTAGTTTTCCTACAAGTTTGTTTTTCTTGTTACGGTACTACTCAAATAGTATGTTAGCTATTGTCAATATATATTAGACATTATTTATTATATGAAACAAAAAGCAGTTATATCCTATACTGGTACTTTTGTATATTTTTTTTCTATGAACAAATTCTACGGTGCAATGAAGCCTTTTATGTTTTCATTAGTTAACTCAAATTTCGAACAATCAAGTTCATCCATTCGATGTATTTTTTCATAATAAGATTAATGGATTACAGTAAGACTTTCTGCTTTCTTTATTGTAAGTTACAATTTTTGATTCTTTTCTATTAATTATAAAGCTGAATATGTCATTTGTTATTATTAAAATCCGCAGAGATTCCAAACCAATATGTGATTACAAAATGCGTTTGAATCATTTTTATGTTTATTATATTTATCTCGTCCTACGAAAGAATGTTAATTTATAACAAAACAAAAATTTATTCAAAGAATTTTGTATGTCCATAGATCTTCTCAGATACTATATTCATATAATTGAAATTATAAACTGAATTGTCAACGAACTTCATAGTTTTTAAATTCATCGTCAATCATTTCATATAATTGAAAGTTTGTTAACAAAACTCATTGTAAAAAAAAGCCAAAGTTATTAAATCTTCATCTTAAAAGATAAGTTGAAAGAGATAATTCTGTCAAACTCTTTTATTATTCACATTTTACAATTATTAAAGAATTTTAGTGGCAGAGATAGCACATTTCAAAGCAATACACATTTTTTATTTTGTTAGCATACTAAATTATACAGTACATATGATCATGTGCTGCAAATAATTGGACCACCTAACGTACGATTGATGTGTAGTACGGCGACATGATCAGACCTAATACCAAATTATCGAGTAGCAGAATGTGGATAACGTGCATAAATCGCCTATATCCCATATGTGATAGAAGAACGAATGTTTGATTATCAATAAAAGGAACGCTACCACGACCAGACATTAACGCAAGTCACTCAGAGTCACATCTCGGTCAACTTTAATAAACTCGTCATCGGATTGTGGTACACGAAGATTTACTGAGTCTCAAAACTAGTCTGAAATAGATATTATGCTCTACTCTCATGTTATAATCGAAGTAGTAACTATCAAACTACAAATCCTCAATAGAAGAAGCCTACGCAGATAGCCTAACACCTGAAGTTACTGAAAAAAAATTAAACAGTGCGCAAGTATTGTTAGGTAGTGACGCTATCTCTCACCATTATCTCTCTTTTTCTTTTCTCTATCTATTCTCATCTTTTGTTCTTCATGTGATTGGATAACACAGATGAGCGTGTTTATTTTAGTTAGTTGTTGATTTTTTGACTTCTAGACGTCGGTAAAGTTACCACCATATTCGACATTTTCTATCCGGATTCGCTATTTAACGTGAGTTATGTCTCATATCTATGAGTTAGATGCAGAATTTTACGCTGAATTGAATGATGCCACTTTCAAGGGGGTCATCGGGCAAAAAACCATCTTACCCCCAAAATACTGGTTTTTCGACCCATTCTGCCCAGTAATCTCTGTCCCGATTCGCTATCTTACCTGAGTTATGTCTCATATCCATGAGTTAGATGCAGAATTTTACGCTGAATCGAATGATGACACTTTCAAGGGGGGTCATCGGGCAAAAAACCCCACTTACCCCCAAAATACTGGTTTTTCGACCCATTCGGCCCAGTAACCCATGTCCGGATTCGCTATCTTACCTGAGTTATGTCTCATATCAATGAGTTAGATGCAGAATTTTATGCTGAATTCAATGGTGCCACTTTCAAGGGGGGTCATCGGGCAAAACCCCCCCCTTACCCGCCAAATACTAGTTTTTTAACCAATTCGGGCCAGTAATCCGTGTCTGGATTCGCTATCTTACCTGAGTTGAGTCTCATATCCATGAGTTAGGTGCAGAATTTTATGCTGAATCCAATGGTACCACTTTCAAGGGAGGTCATCGGGCAAAAAACCCCACTTACCCACAAAATACTGGTTTTTCGACCCATTCTGCCCAGTAATCCCTGTCCGGATTCGCTATTTAACGTGAGTTATGTCTCATATCTATGAGTTAGAGGCAGAATTTTACGCTGAATCGAATGATGACACTTTCAAGGGGGGTCATCGGGCAAAAAACTCCACTTACCCCCAAAATACTGGTTTTTTAACCAATTCTGCCCAGTAATCGGTGTCCGGATTCGCTATGTTACCTGAGTTAAGTCTCATATCCATGAGTTAGGTGCAGAATTTCACGCTGAATCGAATGGTACCACTGTCAAGGGGGCGCATCGGACAAAAGACCCGACTTACGCCCCAAATACTGGTTTTCCAACCCGTTCTGCCCAGTATTCCCTGTCCGGATTCGCTATCTAACCTGAGTTGGGTCTCATATCCATGAGTTAGATGCAGAATTTTACGCTGAATCGAATGACACCACTTTCAAGGGGGGGGGGGTCATCGGCCAAAAAACCCCCCTTACCCTCCAAATACTAGTTTTTTAACCAATTCGGCCCAGTAATCCCTGTCCGGATTCGCTGTCTTACCTGGGTTGAGTCTCATATCCATGAGTTAGGTGCAGAATTTTATGCTGAATGGGTTACTGGACAGAATGGGTCGAAAAACCAGTATTTTGGGGGTAAGTGGGGTTTTTTGCCCGATGACCTCCCTTGAAAGTGGTACCATTGGATTCAGCATAAAATTCTGCACCTAACTCATGGATATGAGACTCAACTCAGGTAAGATAGCGAATCCAGACACGGATTACTGACCCGAATTGGTTAAAAAACTAGTATTTGGGGGGTAAGGGGGGTTTTTTGCCCGATGACCCCCCTTGAAAGTGGCATCATTCGATTCAGCGTAAAATTCTGCATCTAAGTCATGGATATGAGACATAACTCAGGTAAGATAGCGAATCCGGATAGAAAATGTCGAATATGGTGCTAACTTTACCGACGTGACTTCTAGTTAGTTGTGTTTTGAAAGAAGAAATAAACCAGGAAAAGGTTAGTCGACAGACTAACAAGTATATTCAGTATTTTCCATTCATTACTAGCTGTTACATTGAGATCGCTATGAAATAGTGAATATGATGTCTTACAATCAAATCAGAAAAATGAATTTGTTCCAGAGAATAGTAACTATTCTTGCCTCAATTTATCGTGAGATACGATTGAATTGCAATAAAAAGTTTCCTAGTTACTAAGTTGTTATTTGAGATGCCCAAACCAAAGCAATCAAGACTGGAGTAGCTGTTGAATCAGCAGTCGTTGTAAAATATCCACAAAACAAAGATTTATCAGAGCAACCGTGGTGATCGAATGAAAATCGCTGAGACCAACTACTCAAGGTCAATTTACTACTCTGACTCATTTGAATTCAAGGATAACTACATCACGCGGAGTGTGCCGCTGTCATTGATAAGTCACTAGAGATATTAGTGGAGTTTTGATAAATTGAACTTTTGCTCTATAACAACGTTTAGAGGAACGATGGATGATATGCTATCTCGACCAAATGAGAAGTTGACTCTGATAAAGCACCATTGGAAGAAGATATATCAGAAGCGAACTTCTTTTTATTCAGCAATCAACATAGAAAAAAGAATATGTTTGCTAGTCGAAATTGTTAATATTCATACAATTTGAATACGGCACCTCGGTTTATTTCGATGTTACGAGTTGTTCACTGATTCTCCAGAGACGCTCGGCATTGTTCATATCGACGACATGTGGTCCCATACCCCAAAAACCATCTCCAACGTTGATACCACGGCTAATGGCACAATCTTCCAAATATTCACCACCATGATTATTCAGCTCAGGTGCCAAAGCCGTATAGACACTCGTTGCAGCTCCTTGTTCGATTGTTTTGCAAATATCATTGATACTACCATCTTCTTTAAGGACTCCAAATGCTTGCAACTCTTCTGTCGGTGTATGTCGTTGCAAATTTGTCATAATAATGCCCGGATGTAGAGAAAATGCTTGAATTCCATCTCTTGCATATAATTTATTGAATTGTTTTGCGAACAGAATATTTGCCGATTTGCTTTGAGCATAAGCTGCCCATTTATCATATTGTTTTTCCCAATTAATATCATCGAAATTGATGCCACCAGATTTATTTGCAATGGAACTGACTACAATTACACGTGCTGGTTTTCCTGCTCGAAGCTCAGGCAAGAGAAGATTTGTAAGATGAAAATGTGCAAGATGATTAACACCGAATTGGGATTCGAAACCGTCCACGGTTTTCGAATATGGACATGCCATGATGCCCGCGTTGCCTGTGAGAAATTTTGAATGGACATAGACTGATTCTTTAAGTTTCTTTCACTTACAGATCAGAATATTGATAGGAAGTCGTCGTTGTCGAAAACGAGTGACGAAATCTCGTACTGATTTCAGTGAAGTCAAATCGAGTTCCATCACTTCGACTTTGTCGTTACCTGTTGTTTTCTTGATATCTTCGACGACTTGTGCTCCCTTTCTCATATCACGAGCCGTAATGAATACATGAGCATTAGTACTTGCCATTGCACGAGCTGTTTCAATACCAAGTCCTAATCAATTCAAAAAGAAATCGAGACAACTGCGAGAATAAGATGAATAATTTACCAGAGGTGGCGCCCGTAATCAGCACTACCTTTCCATCAAGTTTAGCATTGAGTCCTTTGATAACTTCCAATGCCGTGGTTCTAGGTCCAAACTTCGGCACTATTGCGGATGCTGGTGTTGTTTGTCGAGAGCACAGATTGCGAAGAGAACATGACGCCATTTTAAACGTGAGATAATTGGATTTGATTGAGAGTTGTGACTGCTCTCATCTGCGTGCAATTTATGTAGAATATTTTGCACACGTCATAGTGACTTCAGTGAGAAAAATGCATCGTCATCTTTATTATGATCGCGTAAGCTTCAGTACCTCTATTGATTTAGTAAGATGAATGAGTTTGATCATTGAGTGTTGTGACACGGATTTTTTGCGTGTTCTTTTTTTTCTAAACTGATGGCGAATGATTGTGCAAATATGTGGCATTTACAAATCAATGCTATTTGCATATGCAATTTGTCAATTTTTGCTTTCTTTCACATTCCATTCTGGATATCAAATATCATCTTGAAGCCATCGTCTGTCATTATTCATGTTACGAGAACGTATCATTAGGAAAGCATTAATTGCAATAGTTGAGTGCATATTGAATCGATGAAAGAGAGCAACTTATGAGACGATACAACAAACTTCACCATGTTCTCTGTTGCAGTTCAGACGTTCATGATGACTATTACAAAGAACATGGCAAAAAATAGCTGAGAACGATTAACAGAACGAATTTCCTTCCTACCCAGTAACAGTAGAGACATGCTAGTTTCCTCATGAAAGAAGCAGAAAAATGGAGTCAATCCGACTAGAGTAGTACGTAATATTTCAAATGGATTATGATAATGATCGTGATATCAATGTCTACAATATGAAAGAAAGTTCTTCTCTCGTCTTCTACACGATTTTCTTGTTTGTTAAAAACCATCTATGCATACGTGTTTCATTAACATTCTCTGCATTCTGTTGAAACTTACCAAAATAGGCACAACCGCTGTGCCACAGCGATCGTGTTGACAACACTTTATATTACAAATTGCGACTAACATTTCTACTTTAAGTAACAATGTATATATGCACAATTTCTGCCTGAAAAAGGCAATGACAATGATCATTATATGCACTATATGAAATGAGAAAGCTCATGCCTTGAGACAGATTCGATTCTGAGTTATAGTAGTTCAAGTCGAATGGTTTTATGTTACCCAATACCATTGAAGACATCAGGTACTTTCTTTACAGTGTTCTCATCTATTCCCTCATCGTCACATGACCCAGATTGATCCCTCCGACTTCAATGGAACTTTGCTTACTATCCAAGAAGATCACGTTCGCATTTGAAAAATCCACGAAAACTGGATCTGTATTTGCTTTTTCTTATACGATATCAATGGAATAATAATAGCACAGATTATGCTAATCTGTGTAGATATTTTAATAAAATAATCTTACTCGCTTCATGAAGAACAATGTTGATGAAATGGCCAATAAAAAATATGTAAATAATCAGTACTAAAAATGTCACCAATTAATTCAGAAATGATTAGCTTATTAAATATAAGCATTAGTAAAAAATTTCATTTTATGTCAGTAAAAAATACGATTTTGATCGGTAAAAAATACAAATTCAGTCAGTAGAGAGAGCCTTTATCAGCAGAAAATAAATTAAAAGAAATCGAGAAACCACAGAATAAACAAGTAGAAATTTAAAAAATAACTGGAGACAAATGGAAATGGAATCATTGTATTAGTAAATCAGTTTTAGCCTTTGCTGGTCCACCTGATTTTTCTTCTGTCGCTGATCGGCACTTTCTTCGGTGTTGCTGATGATTTAGAGTACTTTAAACAAATAGCCATACTCACAATGTGTTTGCATATATAATTTTAAAAAAAAGTTAGACAATTGCATTTCAATGTTTTCCAGCGTAAATCATTTTGTATTTCCATACACCAAATATCAAATGATTTTTTGAATTGACTAAAAGTTGCCTATTTCTTGTTATATTTAATTAAGTCAGTTTGTGTAGTTGATTTCAAGTCATGAGCTGGTGTATAATATCTTTTTGAAGAGCCATTTGGAATGAAAATGACATCTTTTGTTGATTTAGTCCATGGATATGATGAGATTCATAATTATAAAGATGTTATTGGTTCTGTAGCAAATATTCTTGCATTAGTTAATGATGGATCTTGTTCGATGGACCAATTATTTATAATATTTGAGAAAATTGTTATTGTTAAAAGTCTTGATAAAACATGAAGTTCTCGAAATATTCGATCATCTTTGATTATCTTGTTTATTACCTCTAAAGCATTGTTTCTACTTAGTGTGTATAATTGTAAACCTTCATATCAACCATTGTTTGACTTTAACCATTCAGAATCAAAATAATTCAAAAAATACAATATTGTTTGGATTTTTGCTTCATACTCATGTTCTATGTTTTCATAAATAATGTTAATGCTAATTCAAATGCAGCTGTAGAATTGCATAACTGAAGCAGTTCAACATCATCTATTGATTCGTTCCTAATATTTTTATCATCTACTTGACATATACGATTTTCAAATTTTCTTTTCATATGCATCCACACATTATTTGACTATATGAATAATTAAATATGTTTTTAAAAGCGTTTTTGATTGAATTTGCAGCATCTGATATTAATATTGTTGATTTTAATAAAGCTTTATTGATTTTTTGCATACCAATTTGAATACTATTGAAGATAAATTCAAAATATGTTGTTTTTTCATTTGAACATCTTGCTAAATCAAATGGATGAAGTGCTTTATTGAAATCAGTTGTTCCAATAATTAGTACCGAAAAACCTTGCCAAATTAATTTATAAGTAGCATCAGCATGTATATGTTGAGACATAGATACAATGTTGAGTAAATGAATAGATGATATAAAGATACAATATATCTTTTCCCCATCATCTTCTACATCTTCATCATCTTGATATTTTTTATCATCATATAATATCTTGTATGATATAAACAAAAGCTTCATTTTCATCAAGTAGAACATTTCGATTATTTCCATTGCATTGTTCTAATTCACCTAAACTTATTCCTTAAAAACCTATTTCACTACGCCACATTCAATTTCAGAAATGTACCATTGGAACTTTTTCAAAGGGACATGAACAATGACAATGATATAAACTCAAAGCGGACATGCTTTATGACAGTTCAATGAGTGTTAGACAGAAAATATCGTCGATTAACGTGAGAAACCGCATGACTACTCAGCTCAGACAAAAGAATCCATTGACAGTGGAACTGATGCTACTTGATTTACTTTTACAACGTAGTTCTTCTATCATTTTTATAACACTATCAACAAAACAACTGGTGGTTGACTGTAGCTATCGTTCGAAAAAAAAAACATTTTTTTCCTCGCTTGACTATTGAGATGTGGTAGATGAGCGTGATAACGTCCCTTATCATTGTGCCTAAGTAAAACAGAAATAATAAGACAAAGAGGGGTTTATTCGTATAATCATACGTTGCCGATACTGAGTGCAAGCATCGTTTGATAAGAAATAGCATTTCTCTCATAGCTTGGCAGTTGAGGCAAGAAGTAGGAAATGGATGACGTTGCTTATCAACGCCTGTAAATGAAGAAAGCGAAAAAATCGAGGCAATTTTGGCTTTATGTATACTCACCCCTATTCATTGTAAAATGAAAAAAAAACTATCATTTTCTGTTTGATTAACTTATCTTCCACAAGTAAAGAGTAGGTTCAAAGAAAGATGGTTTACGTTTCGTTGAAGATTGTTGACATAGAATAATATTCATTTGACTCTTTTTGGAGAAGTATGCTAATAGCTTCTTCATATTGATGAATCAATTGAAAACAGACCGATCTATGTCTTAAAGAAAAGACAAGTGCAATCTGCTAATCTCAACTTTTGCTTGTCAGCAATCAACTAATTCGAAAATTAGATAATAATAGCATATTAAATAAATGTGGTTTGATTAAAATAATTATAGAAATACAGAGTTTATTTCGCCGACACATTTCATGTTATTTATTGAAATATTAAAATACTCATCAGGACTCTGCATTACACATTTAAAGCGCATAAATTGATGAAACGATAAAAGAACTCATAATAGTTTAAATAGAAGCGAAATTAATTAAAAAAGAGATAAACTTTAGAAAAATTGAATTGAGACAAAGACAACAGAAGATGGAGAACTAATCTTTATAATGAGAAGAAAATTATATTTAAGAAAAGGACAAAAACTGGTTGGATTTTGTAGAAAATGGTATTGTATCTTGCAATCATATTGAAGGACAACAATTGCAGACAAATTTGCGGAAAATCATCCGTAGATCCATTCAAGTTAAAGAACCAATTGTCATAATTATTATATTGGTTTATCTCATTAATTTGATAGCATAAAAGTGTTCTTCAATATATATAATGACTATGAAGCACGTCCATCGATCGCTTTATTCAGTTTACTTTCTTCATATAGTCCTAAATAACTCGATAACGTTATGCAATAAGATGATAATTTAAGCAACTGAATATAATTTAAACAAAATCGATATGGAAAATTACTAGATATAGTTTAATTAACGGATCGTCTTATTAAACGTAGATAAAGTTAGCACTCGATTCGATTAGTTCTAGCACTGATTCACCTCAGATGCGTTCCAGCTGAAGGTATGCGTATGTGTGTCGATGAAAAAACGATGATACTCACATCCACACCTCGATGTCCCAGCTCGATGATTCCGTAGGTTGGATCCGGCGTGGTCCTGCAGGAAATTGTCTTTTTTTCGGCTAATTCCTCCAGATTCCCGCTTCATTCCTACTGAGATCGGTTGAAAAATACACAGGAACATGGAATCAGTATTTTGGCCTGGAAATACTCGTACTGGATCTCGGATAGTCCAGCTCATTCCGGTATCCGAAATCACACAGGAACTATTTTGTATCCGTTCAAGAACATATTGGAATTCACTCGGATCCGGAATGAATCGTATCGGAATCATACCATATTCCACCGAAACAACACCAGAACAAACCGTATCAAAAAAAAGACCTGAAAATATTTCACCAATCAAATATTGCGTCCACTTCCATATATGCAGTTCCATCAACTGCAAGACAAATAAAGATATGCTACTTTTAAAACGAGCTTCGACATTCAAAAATACCTAGGAAACCACGCATTACTCAAAAAGAACTAAAAAGATCTTTTTTTTATTAAAACAATGATATTAGTCAAAGGAAAATCTTAGAAGGAAGAAATTTGTTGCGAGATCTTTAAAAGTATTTTGTTTGTGAAATTGGAATTTGAGTTTAAAAAATAATCTGAAAACGATTTATTCTTCGCGAAAAAGCTTTTGGAGAGATTGTTCATTGAAACAATTACTTCAATCTCAGAAACACGTCATGGATAAGATGTGTATTATAAAACTAATACATTAAAAGACTTAACATGATTATATTGTTCCTTGAGGTATAAGAATTGCAAGGTACAAAGACGTAACTGCACCGAAATTGATTTACAGTTTTCGAATGGTCTTGCTGAATGACTTGATAGAAAAGTGGGTTCCAGTATTTGTTATAAGAAGGTGACAACTGTGATGGAAAGGATGCCTTGCTTGCTGATGATAGAGAAAGAATGGTGTCAGAGTATTTCCATATTATTATTGTATGTTTAGGAACGAAAGAATTATTCAAACTATACTCGACGAATCTAGTATTTGTTTTTGGATGGATCTAATTAGTAAATTGTTATGTTTATTGTGATATTCTGGAGATTTCCTTTTCCTCTTTGATTGCATGTTTTCCAGACTATTCTTCGTTGAGTCCATAGAAAAGCTTGAAGTACCTGTTGCACATCAGTACAAACCAGTTTATAAATGATTATTTCATTTGGTAAATATTCAAATTGAAATTGAATGATTATTCATTTATTTAATAGAATATATATATATATAAGAAAATAATATTGCAATAGCGAAGACACCATAAAAAAATATTTAATATATAAATGTTTTCAAAATACTGTCAGTCGACTTTGATATCGACCTTTAAAAATATTATTAAAATTTCTCTTTAAACACCGGCAAATGTCTTGAAAATCATACTCGATTAATCCACTCGGTCGTTTAACACGTAAATCAAACGTAAATCGATCAAGTACTAATAAATGTCTCGAAATTATTTTTGAAAGCCAATCATAATATTGAAAATAATCCATTGCATTCAAATCTATTGATATCGATCGACATATTCTAAACTGTTCGAGATTAGGTACACATAATAGATAATCTTCTAATATACTATCATCCCAAGGCCACTCATCATAATGCATATTGATTATTAATCTTTTAAGACTAGTATGTAATACAATATTTGATTGTATTTTTGATTTTATGGGTAATTTAAATTTTAGAAAATATAAATTTGGACACGCCAAAAGAATAGATATATATATAGATGAATCAATATCGTTTACTTTTAAAAAACGTAATGATAATGATTGTGTCCATTCACGACTTGTATATGGTGGTGTCATTCGTGATATATAACAATATTTTAAATTAGGGAATGTATTTGAAAAAATTATTGCACGTAAATCAGGCATATAAAATGGACTAACTGTATGTGAAATTGAAAGATATTCTAAATTAGGTAAAATGTGATTATTCAATTGTGATATTAAATCATCTGTTACATAATCCAGAATAATACGATGTAAATTAGGAAAACATTTTAATTTATTTTCGATTTTAGTATTAATAATTAATGTATAAATATATGGATATGAAAGAGTACAATTATCATTTTTATTTGTTGAATAAGTAAGATGAGTGAGAGGTTGAATTAAATAATTAAAACGAGAGTTTAAATTATAAAAAGCTTGAAAAAGATCTCGAGCTTTAAGATATTTAAATAATTCAATGATTATTTCATTAGGTAAATTTTCCAATAGAAACACATTGTTAGTCATGTGTACAACTAATCTAGAAATAAGATATTTAGACTATTATTTTAATCAAAGGATTGATTTGATGTAGTTAGGATACAAAATTGTTTTATTTCTCTCGACTGTTGGAACTTTGTCATGATAGATTGGTTTCTGGCTGATATCGTTGTTTTAATGAAAGAAAAACGTCATTGCGAAATCTTGGATACTATTAGAAAGTTGTTACATATGTGACAATATGATGTAGTGGAAACGAAATATTATTTGAAATGTATCAATAGCCTAACCTATTTTTCAAAATAAAATTCCTTGGTGAACCATGAAGAAATCTTTCTTGAATCTCTTAAATATGTGAAACTCTCAAGGACTCACGGATGAGTGAAGATAAATACTTTAAGTCTCTGGCGACTCCATAGTAATCCTTTAGAGAATATATGATAGAATAACAGAGCAGTCGGCCTTATCAAACGAAGCCTTCTAAGTGATTTCCTATTGTAGACTAAATCAATAACAAGGCTTAAATAATTCTAAAAAGAAGCAAATTCCGATACAACAGAAAGTTTAACTTTTAAAGCGAAAATCAAATTATAGAGTTTGAATTTAAAATTTCGTTATCCTAATACCGCTCGAAACGATTGCTTTTCTTTAAAAAATACCTGTTATTCATATACATCATCAATAAGTTTTTCTTCATTCATTAATATCCAAAAACGAAATGTGATCATTTCGAATAATCTTAAAGACAATATCTAAAAAAAGTACAATATTTTCAATAATAAATAAATAATGTATATTACGTTATCAGATATCTACAACGAAGTGAAAACGTCGAATTTATTATTAAATTCAATTCAAACAATGTATTATACGAAATGAAACAAAAAGACACCTTTCACATCTATTTACAATTATTCTCTGTCAATTATAAGTTGAGCTTTATATTGACCTTTATGTACATTACTAAAGTCACTTTTAATTTTAATAATCATATTCTCGTCAATACATCCAATTAGATTTTCATCTTTTGATAAATGAAAATTAAAAAAAAATTTTCGTAATAATGGTAAACGAATATTAATTATTGTTGCTAACCAATCGTAATATTCAATATATTCTCGAACATGTTGTGAATAATTTCTTCGATGTATTTCAAGTTGTTCTAAATTAGGTACAAATTTTAAAAATCCACTTATTATATCATCATCATAGAACCAATCGAATTCTCGAAGTTCAATTATCATATGTTTAAGATTTTTATGTAATGGTATATTTGTTGGTATTCTATTCGATGAATACAATAAAAATTTGAGAAAATATAAATTTGGACATGCACTAAGAATTATTTTATATAGAGCTGAATCAATAAATTCAGTTTTGAAAATATATATTGATGGTGATTGTGTCCAATGTGGTATTGTTATTAATGTTTGTTTTTCATATAATTCACATGATTTTAAATTAAGAAAACGATTTGAAAAAACTTTTTCATGTAAAAGTACCATTTCATACATATTATATGTATAAAAAACAGATAGATGTTCTAAATATGGCATAACATTTGGTTGTAATTGTTCCAAAACTTTTGGTAATGGATTATTTAATCTTAGACGACGTACATTTGAAAAATTTTGAAGATTAAAATTAATCCATGGATTAACAATTAATGTGTAAACATAAAATGAAAAGATTTCATCATTTGTTTTAAGAACATTTGATACATCCATATGAAAAAACAGTTGAAGATGTTGAAATGATTGAATTAATTGATTAAAACGATTATTAAGATTATTAAATGCACGAAATAAATCTCGTGCATCAAGATTTTTAAATATTTCACTGAGTAATTCATTAGGTAGATCTTCTAACTGAGATTTATATTTATTCATGATCTAAAATAATGAATATTAAATTAATTCAATATATTTATCTATATTAAATTTAAAGAGATAAACAGATAGATAAAATTACCGTAAGATTTAAATCACATTTTTTATGATTCTATTGCAAGAGCTACTAGCACAATTCCTACAGTATTAAAATGTAAAGTACTATGTAAATGCTTGAGAAATGCAATACGGATACACGTCATGTATTATAACGAAACATTGTTGATATATGATGAAAGACAGTATATCAATAACGTCTGTCACAATCTCCGATGTGAGAAGGAAGGAGTCTCGTTAATATGTCTGTTATGGTTTGTGGTAGAGTCTGTCGGATTCAAAATCTTCGACCCCGGATCAGGTTTATTGAGCGTTTTTTCGAATCCAACTCTGGTTGATTGAAACTTTTGGGTAGGAATCAGGTTAATAGAAGAATTTCAGATCCAGACCTAATCGGGTCCAAGTTCGGGACCAAAATGATGGGCTCTAGTTTCGGAGGAGAGTACAATTTTCTACTCTATACGTATACATCAACGCTCCTTTTAGGTCTTGTTTTACAAAATGGGCGATAAAAAAATTGAGGTTCAGGTATAATCAATAAAATACTACTTAATTTTGGATTGGATTCAGCAAAAAATAACTTATAATAACTTCATATCAGAGTTCCTATTGAGTTGGTCGACGCGTCGCCTATAGTGGTGAATTTTCAAGCAAAAATTGACATATCTCTACAAGTTTTCAACTTCTATATTATGCGAATTTCATCCACTTCGTAGTCTAAATTTACTCTTTTTGATATGTTCAAGCTTTAAAATCCGAAGACAAATATATAACAATGAAATAGATTAATTAATAGAAGTAAATTTTATTTTATTCACAATAAAGAAATATTCTATGAGATATATGTGACTTAGTTAAATATTGCATCTTCTGCTTTTTCATCTACAGTTATATTGACAATAATTATTGTGTCTCATTCTAATTTTAACTATAAGAATTGCTTATTTGGGATTGATATAATTTTGTCACGCAAGTAACAATGTAGATTTTGTTGACATTTATTTTGCTGCTTTTATCTTTAATGTAGAAAATTAGTTTGTTTAGTCAAGATATGTACGTCACTTCTAGATCAACATACTGAACTTCAATTGAAGGTTTTAAGTGTCTTAAATATGGAGATCAGTTTCTTTCATATGAAATAAAGTTATTAAATTTTTCATTTTTCCTTAACAAGGTAAAATCAGTACTGCAATAATTTCAACAAGAAACAAAAGAACTAGCTACCAATTTTCGACGATACGAAAAGAGTTGATTACTAGCTTCAATTCAATTGAGTTAGACTTATTTACCAATATTTAGCCTGTGCTAAAAGTGCTACTTATCTAATTATATACAACAAATAATGACTGAATAATAATAATCATAAATAGTTTTGATCACTGCGAGAAAAAAAGACTATTCCAAAACAGTTTTTTATCAGGCAGATTACTCAAGGACAATCGTTCTCGTGCTTTGGTCGTGTTGGGCTAATCAATAGAGCGATAGCTCATAGGCAGGTTTTCTTTAATTCAACCCAGTTCATTCAGTATTCTACTTCATATCAATAAACATATTTATTTCATTGTATAAGACATAGATGTCCCTATCGGAGCTGAACACAAGGCAGAATGGTCTTGTACCTAACTCTGGTTCCTATAGCAAAAGAATGGTAGGATATCACGTAGACGTCTGATATATCATGTCTACAAGTACGCCTTTCATTTCAGTATTCTACATTTAACATTATCAGACAATGCTATATTAATTATCCTCATCTATATATTCGAACTATCAATTGGATCTCTTAGTAGATCGAAATCTATTCGAATTTTTCATTCATCATTCTGATTGCTGTTATTAACTTTTCCTTTAAAATTTCGATTCAACATGCCATTGTGTTACCGTACTTAACTCTTATCTTTATTATATTTTATGAGTCTAGATTTTAAGAACATATTCTATTTACTTACATCCTTCTGAAATGGAGAAGTTGTTTTGTTTATATATCCTGAAAGATTTGTGAAGACTTGTTGCCCTGATACAATAATTGTTGCGAAGATTTGTTATCTAATTACATTTCAGACAAGATATTATTTATTTCACATGATAATCTAAAAAGAAAACAAACAAGTTTTTTATTTTCTATGAAAATAAAACACTTGTACGATCTAATTCGTAAATGTACAACAGAAAAATCTATTTACATCATGTTTTGTGTATTAAAAAAAATGAATAAACATAATTTTTCATTATTCTTATTTATAAATAAGATGTCGAGATTGATAGCGATTATTATGTTTATGTAAAAATATTTCTTCTATTTGACATAAAATATTTTCAATATTTGGTTCAATAAATATGTCTGATCGAATAACTTTCAAATAAAAATTAAAGCGACAAAGTAATAATAAATATAAATCAATCTTTGATGCTAACCAATCATAATTAAGTAAGGATTCTGTAATTTTTGAAACAAATATTGATCTATATACATTAAGTTTTTCCAAGTTAGGTACACAAGATAAATAACTATGAAATACTTTATCATCCCAAGGCCATATCATATCTATAACATTAATTATCATTTTTTTAAGATTCTTATGTGATTCTATATTTAATTTTAATTGATCTGAACTAAATATTGATAATTCCAAATATACTAAATTTGGGCATGCTGTTAAAATTGTTTGATAAGCTAATGAAGTAATACATGATATTTTCAATGTATGTAATGATGGTAATGATATCCATTCATCAATTGTTATTAATATATCTATTTGAAATAAAAACAAAAACAAAAACAAAATTTTAATTAAGTAAATTATTATTTGAAAATACTATCGTAATACCTAAATGTGATATAGAAAGATGTTTTAAATAAGGTAATATATTTGAATTTAATTGTGCTAAAACTCTTTTTAATGGACATTCTAATTTAAGATAACGAATATTTAAAAATCGATTAAGATTAATATTAATTGCTCGACCAACAATAAGTGTATAAACATAAAAAGAAAAATAATCATTATTATCTATTTGATTATCAAGAAAAAATTCCATGTGAAAAAAAAGATTAAGATGATGAAAAGATTTAATTAATTTATTCAAACGATAATTAAGATTAGAAAAAGATTGAAATAAATCTCGAGCATCAAAATATTGAAATAAATCAATAAGAATTTCATTAGGTAATTGTTCCAATCGTGATAGATCATTATTCATTTCAGATAAATAAAATCTAAAACAAAAAGATCGGAAATTTTGACTTATTTTCATACATGATAAACTATCTGTGTCTTTGCTATTTAAAAAAAAATACGCTCATCTTTAGACACAATGCTCTAACTTTTCACCGTAGGACAATTGAATTACAATTATCGTATTTCTTCCGTAAACCAAGCCATTGTTTTACGGCCATATTCATATTGTGTTATGTTCGATGTATGCTTACAACTAAAATACGCTGACCCTATAACTGACTGTATCTTCGTCGTAAATATGCTACATTATCACCAAATATAATATCACGTGTCATCGTACTCACATGTGTCATTCTTCAATGAGAGGAAAGGTAATTGTTTTTCGTTGTGTCCTCTATCTTCATAAAAACGAAATATTATTTCTATTTTTAAAATAATGCTTACAGTGCAATTGTTCTGATGAATCGAAATAAAATAAATATAACTCATATTCTTTTTTTAAATGTAATGTACGCCATTATATAAAAAGTCATATGTATCTATATAGAAGTAATAACGACGTCAATATTGATTGTCGTAAAAACATGACTCAAAGGCAATTTCAAATAGATCGACAAAAGCTGTCGATTGTATGCCATTACATAACTGCAAATTATGAATGGTAGGCCTCTCTGTAATATGCTGTATATATATGGCGTAGTCGTGGCATGCCAACGGTTATTGTATGCGGTCATTTTATAGGATGATACAAATACGTTGTGTATATGATGATCGAAGATAGCGTATTATGTAGCACTAAAAGCGAACACTATATATGATATTGGAGTATACAATAATATGTTGCAGCGTATACGTTCATCGTTTTCAGGCTGAAAAATATTGTAACTTAGCTGAATACAACTATTTACATGCTGTATGAGTCGGCCGGGGAAGATAAATCGTTGCTTAGACCAAATGTTGCAATATATTTGCGCATTATCAATGAACTTTATAGAGAGTGATGGTAATAAATAACGAAAAAAATCTCTAAAACAAATTCGATATTGCTTTAAAAAAAGGATTGACATATGTGTTAACTCATAATGGTTTTTCTGTAGGTAAATTCGAAGAAATCTTGTTAGAAATATATGAAATATTTGCCATTTGATAGAAAAATTTTATTTTAATGATGGCATCTAAAAGACTTTCATATAAAAGATTTTACTAATGTAATAGTGGAAAGCTTTTATATGATTTTTTAAATGCGCCAATCTTTTTTTTTTGTTATTACTTTCTACAAAATTAATTGGTAATGCATAAATATATTGCAATATTTTATTCATCTGTACAATGACCTGTGTATACAACGAAAAGTCTAGTCACCTTTAAAAGCAATGAATTCGAATATCTTGAAGTTTTTATTGATGTATTATCAAAATCAATTGATACGTATAAAACTTGAAGTCATAAAATATCTATTATATCATAAATTGCAAAATAATGACCTTTACTCGTGACATGAAAAAAAGAAATATAGCAAACCTAATATTAGATTCTTCATTGATTTGGTTTACATACATTTCAAAGATTTCTGTATAAAGATGAACCTATTAGAATTAATTGCCTGTTTCAATGTAGCTTGAAATGCACGAAGAATAGTTAATTCAACGAACAAAAAAAGAAAAACTTGAAACCAATCGTTAAAATATAATTATCTTGTTAGATTAATAATAAACTAGTGTTGATATAGATAATAATAAACATAGCCTAAATGCTGTTGAATTTAAACCATACTATCGCTTCCATTACTTGTTTACAGTTGATGTGTCATTTGATATCAGTTGATTTATCTTTTAAATCTAAGAAAATATGAATTTGAATATAATCATAGAATAAATATGTAAATGAATGCATCAACTGTTAAAATATCGAATGATAATAGATATGTTCAATATAATAATTATAACATTAAATTCCATTTGTATAGATAATAAGAATTTAAATAAAGAAGCATACGTTCGGCTGATCCGTGGTCGTCGACTTTGGAAGGTATCGCACACTTTCTTTTTCGATCAAGAAAAATTTTTAATTTCATTTGGAAAAAATGAAAATTTTTCTTGATTGAGGTAGTATTATAATTCTTACATCCGCATGATCCGGCCAATTCTGAATAATTCTTTTATTTAGTTCATCAAAAAAACATAAAAAATGATATTCCAAATTGTTATTCATTTAAAAATAAGTTGAGATTAATATTTAATTTTGTTGAATAGTTTTAAATTCTATTTGAATTTGATTAAGATTATTTTTATTTTTCACTTGAATAGTTTTCAAAGATATCATCCAATGAAAATGGATAATTCTTTCGGAAGTATATCACAATCACATTGAATTCATTCGAAATGAGATAAAACTTGCTGAAGAAGTAGAACTTGATAATTTAATCTCAAAAAACCATCTTCAAAAAGTTTTAAATTAATTTTATGATGATTTCCGAGCATTAATTTCAGGAATAGTTCAAATTAAAACTTGATTTCTAGAATTTCTCTGTGCTAAATGATAGAAAATCGGCACTTTTAAAGTGCATACTAGTCCATGAAACAACCATTTTATCAAGCGGAAATATTTGTCTTTGATACGTTTCATATATTGAAAAATTTCTCGCCAAGTGAACTTTTTCATGATTGCGAAAGCTTAATTTCTTGGACAAGAAATGAGATTTAATAAATTAGAATGATAAATTTATCATCAGTAGATAGAAAGTTCAGTAATTTCCAACGATAACAAGTAATTATCGAAAATTCCCAAAATTTTTTTCTCTACGCGTTAGCAATCGCCGAAATAACCCACTCATGTATTGGTAATTTCGAAAATTTTCTGCTTCCGGAACGCTAAACATATTTCTGGACATGAAAGATAACATTCCATGGCACGGACATCCCAAATAAATCCAAATTCTTCATCATCCATAGGTAATCATTTCAAATTTTCATATTGATCTTTGAGAAAGTAGAGAAAATGTAAATAATGGCAAGAGAATAACATTGATTAGTCTCCACATAAAAAAAACACTACGTAACGATCCCAGTTGTGTTTTTGAACATGGAAAAGTATTAGAAAAATATCTTTTGACATAATTAATTGATACTTACTATATCGAAATTTAATAATTGAAATTTGTTTCAAATAAAAGAATATATTAGTATTAAGTTGATTCAATATTTTTTCTTTAATCGAATTTGAAAAATAAAGATGATCAATTGTTTCAAATTTGTTTATTAGACAACATTTTAATTCATTAAAATAGATCAAAAAGAATTTCGTTTGATTATTTATTTTGTCAAAAAATAAAATCTAGAATAACCAAAAAAAAATAAATAAATAAAAGTCTTTTATTTAAATTACTAAATAATATACTATGAGTTTCTTTACTATTTCAACAACATGTTAAAATTTAAAAATAATAAATCATAAAAATTCAAAATTTAATTAATACATTATCAATATCTACAGGTACGAAATGAACACTTAGCACGAAAAATCACTTCTTTTTTTTATTTACATTCACTAAACTAGTGAGTTCACCGATTCAATATATCAAAATACATCAAAATAAAAATAGGAAAGACGAGTTTTGGTATAACGTGGATTTCTTTCAGAGATGTACACTGCACCTAAAAATAAGGTGATAGGCGATATTATCATCTGGCTGCCGCGTACAATCGTAACTCGAGAAATTTTTTTCACCACTTTGTGAAACATGATCTAAAAGAAGTGTTGAAGTATAGGTGTAGAAACTTGAATCTTCTCCTTCCCGCAGACGTGATCAATATCCTCATCAATGCCTCTCCTTCATCATGAACTGTTACAGACATTGTAGATATACAATCTTTGATCGTAAATGAATAACGTCTCATTATACTATATGAACTACCTCCTAATTGCATGTCTGGAGAATTAAGTAAAAGGATAACAAGGAAATGTATCCCGAAATAGATAGAATAGAACAATCTTCTAGTGATTAACAACAGCAACTACATTATGTTTCACATGTTAATTCTGTAGAGATTGTGCTCGCGAAAGACTATTTAATTAGGCAAGGCATAACGTGATATACATTTATACTTATAGACTGTTGCTTTCAATCTTAATCTATTTTGTAATTAAATTTGTATATATAATTAGGTTTAAGATGATTTGAAATATGATGCTCATCGCAGTGAAATTAGCTAAGTTTTGAGTAAGGTCGATTTGCTAACAGGATAATTTTTAATCTACATTAGTGTTACGACTTAATTTATAAGTTTAACAAATGAGTATCAAAATCAGGTATTAAAGTTCTTTAGCGCAATCTCCATGAAATTAAAATATGAAACGCACTGTAGTTGCTGTTGCTAATCACAGAAAGATTGCTTTATTCTACGTATTGTGGGGCAGATTTCTTCGTCATCGTTTTATTTATTCCTCAATAAATGCAATAAGAAAGTAGTTGATATATTCTAACGAGATGTTAATTACATACGATCAAAGATCGTATATGAACAATATCTACTTCTAAACTTCAACACTTCTTTTAGATAATGTTTCACAAAAGCTAACGATATGTCAGAAAGAACGAATCTGTGAACGACAAAGTTTCTTTTTGTAACTTTTAGTGTTTTATGTACATGCTTGTTTAAAAAAGCCCTAGTAAGTTATGATAAAGACGCGACCGTCAAAAAACAAAAAGAATAATATTTGCTGTTAGAGGTGGTGCATATCTCTGATTTAATTCGTGTATACGATCATCACATATATCGAAGGTCTACTTTGCTGAGATCATCTTATCGTATTGAATCACAAAATTATGTCATTATACATATGATTATTCAATTAAATCAAGAATAAATCGACATTGATATAAATGACGATGAACATGATTAAAATGTTGTTGAATTCGATGAAATATATTTTGATTAGTCGAATTATTTAATCGATTAGATATTAATATATGAAAATAATAAGTAAAACGAGAAAGTAATGGTAAATATGAAGTAATCGATGATCCATACCAATCAAATTGTAAATAAGATTCATTTATATTTTTACTTTCATTTGTTCGATGAATAATAAGTTGTTCTAAATTTGGTACATATGAAAAATAATCATTCATATCATTATCTTGTGAAAATTCCTCAAAGCATGGTATTGCAATAACTAATTTTTTTAAATTCATATGTTGAATAATATTAATTGGTCTATTATTTGATATTAATCTTGTAAATTTAAAAAAACATAAATTAGGACATGATGATAAAATTGATCCATAAACAAGTATATCAATATCACCAATTTTTAAAATACGTAATGATAACATTTGTCTCCAAGATGAATATATCCATGTTAAACTTATATTATACATACAACAAATTTTTAAATAAGGTAAATCATATGAAAAGATTCTATTCCAAAAATAAGGCATACAATCATTTCCTCTTCGATTTCCTAAATAAATAACAAGATGTTCTAAATATGGTAGACGAATTCTTTCAAGTTGTTCGAGAAATTCATCATTTGATTGTATAAGAATAAGACGACGAATATTTGTAAAAGATTTTAAATTTAATTGTGCTCTGCCTTCAATAAATAGAATATTAATATATGGAGCAATAAAATTATAATGATAAATTTGATTACAATCTGTTGTTTTAAGTGAAAGATAATGATTATTAAGAGATTGAATTAATTTATTTAAACGATAATTGAGATTATAAAAACTTCGAAATAGATTTTCAGTACTAATATATTCAAATATTTCAGCAAGAATTTCATTTGGTAAATTCTCTAATCGATTAAGATTATGATTCATTCGTCACAATCTAAATCTAAAAAAAAAACAAGAAAAACTTTGACATATTCTTTACTATTGAAATAAAACAAATGAAGAATTGCAATGAAATTAAAATTTCATTAATTCAATCATAGTTTCATTAGTAAATCGATATTGAAATTAATCTTTATGATACTCTTCTATTCGATTACAAAAAAAAATTGTTTTCATATTTAGTATAATTTAATCGTTAATAAATAGCAATTGAACTTTCGCTTTGATGACGAACCTAAGACAATAATCTACAGTGTAGAATTCATCGCAATACTGAAAATTTATAGTTACCCGAAGAAATTATGTTAGTAATACAAAGAACACTTGGTACAAATATAAATACAAAGTTTAAAGTGACCTTACTAATTACACAAGAAGCATTAAATGACAGCAAGTGGTAATTGGTTTAGAAATTTGATCATAATGCATTTAATTTTTCGTAGTTACTGAGTTTGTATTTGTTTCGTAATGAATATAGGTCTTGATAAACCGAAAAATGTTAATGTCGACATTCGGTTATCAGCTAGATCATCTATTTATCTGTTATATGTGATACGTATGTATGTGTCACATACCAACATCAATGTCATACGATACTGTTTGTGATAAAACCACATTATACTGTTCTTTCATACTTATTTGACCTTCTTCTAGCAAATAAAAAGCTACTTTCTTTATTATCATATGTTTCAAAAACACGAATGTTCGTACGAGAATTAGAAAAGAGTAAGTGTAATCTCAATCACTAGACAAGGACAACAGCTATTGACTTGTGTTTTTCAGTAATTGCACAAGAACTCCGGACATATTTTTGTCTGTTACTATATAAGATAAAATTATTTTAAAATTCATCATCTTCGTCAATAATTCTAAAACATGCATGAAAATAGTGCTCTATTTCAAGGAAGTTTTGATAAAAATCAACAGAATTGTATAGAATTTGACTGAACATCTTTGTGGTTTTATATTCTCAGCATTGAGATATGAAAAGATACTCACTTGAATCGCGTCTTGAACTATCGATCTGAATCAGCATGTTTTTGAACGTTTTGCAAAGATGATAGGTTTTAAAATAATTTTGTCTTATATAGTATCGGACAAAAACATGTCCAGAGTTTTTCCTCTTGCTGCGATTGCGAAAAACCGTAAGTCACTAGCTGTTGCCGTTGTCGAGTAATTGAACTTACATCCATCTCTCGTTAATTCTGGCATGGATATTAGAATATCAGCATTATGTTAATGGGACAATTTATCACTTACCTGTACTATACTAATGCAACGGACATTTGTAAAACAGGTTAAATAAATATCGAATTTATAATCAGTAAATAAAAGATCTAAATCTTGGTCAAGAAATACTAACCGATTCTGGCAAGAAAACATCGTAAATTGATGAAATTTAGAAGTTGAAAAGTTTCTGAGATGCTTCCTGACTCGCAATACTGTCTCCAAATCCCATTGATTTCTAATGTTTTCCTACCAGATACGATAATTTTCGAGCATCTATCCAGCCAAGTCCAATGAAGTTCGTTTGCTTCCGAAACTCGAAATAATAGAAGAAATATAATTGTACCGTATATACTGTAACATTCATCATTCGAATAGCGTAAAATGAAATATGATTATGAAAACGAATTGATAGTCTTCAGATAAGCATTTCATTCGAGAACAATTCTAATCGAGACAGATTAATACTTTTTCTTTTTATTTTGAATTTATCTAAAAAAAAAAAAAGGCGAAGTTACAATTGCATTCTCATTTTCAAGAAAAGTATCAAATAAAAACTATTTTGTAATATACTACAAATGAAAACGATACACAAGAAAATAACTAATTAACATATTAAATTAAAATGAAATTTTGATTGATATCAATTATTATGTACAGATTTAAAATTTCTTTTCATTTCATCAAAAGTATTTATAATTTTTTTTTTATCCATTCCAACGAGATACCAAATTTTAAAATAGTAATCAAATCGATGAAGTAATAGTAAATAATCAGCAATTGATGATGCATACCAATTCGTTTTTAAAGAATGTAGAATATTTACTTTATACAAATCTTGATAAAATACTAAGTCATTCAAGATTAGATTGATATGATAGACAAGGATTAATCATTGAATCATTTTTCTAATAGATTAGAATCTTCAAATTTTATTGTCATCTATTTAAGATTAACATATGGTTGACCAACAACGGATATTTCATTTCAATTTAATCGAAATTTGAAAATATTTAAATTAGGACACTTGGATAGAATAGTTATCATAAACAAATAGATCAATAATACCAACTTAGAAGTTGCATAGGACATAGAAACATACGAGCCAGGTTTTTATTAGGGAATTCATAGCTCATTGGAACATACATGATGCACGATAGTACCAACTAAATAGTGATTCGGCACTAACAAACATTTCCCCGTAAGTATTCAATCCTCTAGCTTATTAAAAACATTTTTCATACAATGCTATAGAAATTGGACAAGTATCCAATCAAGATCCTATTAAATACTATTAGTAGCAGGATACCTTTTCGAGTACTCTAATGGAAATTGTCCTAGTACACGTGTATCTTGAACTCAGTATATGTACAAGGGTAGTAATATTCTATAATATTTATCTTATTCGTTTTCTTTTGTATGTAATCAAATCATTTCAGTTCTAAATAAAATACAAAAGAATATGTTAAGCATGCAAGGTGACTGTACTCCAATGTAAGTTTTTTTTGAAAGATAATGGTATGTTTTATGCTATCAAAGAATAAATCCGATAAATATTCAAAAAAAAAGAAGTAAGTCTTGGTACTTTCTACTAAAATTATATCTGTAAAAGTAGTACGTTTCATTTTGAATAATAGTTCATTCTAGTCAAGTAATTAAATCTACAAAAACAAAAAAATATTCTAATCATATGAACTACTTTAACGAAATATTTAGATTCTTAATTTATTATTTTAATTATTCTTATATTTTAGCAAGAAAAAATTAATTTCATATGAAAAGAAATTTAAAATATTAGAATTTAGGGTATATGAAAACAATAATGTTCTTAATACTGATAATCAACATTTTTCTTTCTCATAATTGACATATTTCAAATGATGGTGAATATACAGTTGCTAAATAACATAATTTTAAATAAGGAAATTCCTTTGAGAAAAAAAAGCTTGGCAGTACAGCCCCTTTGGGAGACTAAGATATGAATTCAAATTTGGTCTTCATCCTCATTATACCAATATAAAATATTTAAAGGAAACAAATTCTAGCAGACTACAGTTGTATTCTAAGGATAATAGTCAAAGAAACAGTGCTCATTATTCCATTGGTCTTCATTTAGATTATATATCTTAATAAACTCAAAAACACAAATATCGATTATTTCCGAAAGTTAGAACTTAATCAATTTACACTATTTTATGTTGATTATATGACGACTGTGACAAATCAATGTATCATTATCAATTATCCTTGACATCTATTATATAAATTTTTATCTACTCAAAAATAAAACAATGTACTATGTAGAACACTTACAAACGTATTCGAATTTCGAGAAAAGCTTCGAAATATTCTAGAATTTTCTGAAACAGGCTAAGTCTTTTTGTTAATATCTTTCAGCACATTTTTTTTTCATCGTCAAGGAAGTCTGGGAAAATATTATGACGCTTATTGTCATCGACTACCATGAAAACGTACCCAATGATCTTTAATGTTTCCTCGTCTTCATTGCTATAAAGATGGAAGCAGCTGCAAAACTTCGATTTAAAACTTATACTCACTATATTATTCTTCAAGAAACATAATACAACTTCAACAAAATCATTTCATGGCAACCAGCTGTTGTGTATAGAAACATTTCGATAATATAAGTGAAATTGTTCCTAAATAAGATCATTCAATTATTATTGAAAATATTGGATCACATTTGAAATTAAATAGAATTAAACAGCGCACAATAATATATCGAGATAAAGTATAAACGAAAAAAACATAATTCTGTATCACTAATGTAAACATATGAAGGATAATAAATCATCATAATTAAAATCTTTTAACAGTCATAGAAACATAGACACTATTGAATAAGAAATTTAAGAAGAATATTAAAATCATAATTAAAACTACAGAAACTTTACGACGTAACGTTCAAGTATCAATGAATTTAAGTATATATCACATAATAACTCATTAGATAAATCTTCTAATCGAATCGAACTATTCATTATTTACAATAAGAAAAATAAATATTTATCTACAAAACTAAAAAAAAACAATTTTATTTTCTGTTAGGAATAAATAATAATAATAATAATAATAATAATAATAATAATAATAATAATAATAATTCTTTAAAAAACTTGTTTACTATAAATTAAAAATTCATGTATAAATAATTGATCTTTATAGCACAAAAATCAATCTTAAAAACTCTATCGAACTAAAACCTATATAAAAAAAGCACCATTTCGATTTATTGCATTCGAAAAAAAATATTCACTGCACACAAAAAGAAAAGTATACTAAATATCTCATATATTATCATTCTAATTATAAACAAAATTCACAAAAAAAAAAAAAGAAATTTTATTTCTTATTCTCTATTTTTTTCGATGTATATAAACAAAAATAATCTTCTCTTAATGTACATTGAATATTAGAATAACATGGATGAATATTTCTTAATATATTTATATCAATATTCTCATCTTTATTTGGATATTCAATAATATGACAATCAAAATTTTTTAAATTAATTAAATATTTTGAAATCAATTTTATTAAATCAATAAATGATCTTGTACATAAACGTAAATCTATATATTTTATATTTGGTATTAAATATATTATATTTACAATATCATAAACAAATGTTGAATTTTGAAATTGTAAAAAAATAAATTGTTTTAATGGATGATTTAATATTATTGGTAATGAAGATATGTCTAAATGATTTTCATCAGTAATACGTACTTGAAAATGTGTTAATTGAGTACATGATTGAAGAATTAATGGAATTATATTTATATTTGGAGAACGAATACAAATTGAGCGAAGAGATGGTGATTCAGACCATGATAATTTACTTGGCATATTAATTTGACCTAAATCAGCAAAACGAAGAAATTTAAATTGATTTGAAAATATTTCAGATGTTAATTGTTTTGTAGATTGATAATCAAATGAAATAGGTAATGAAAGATAAACAAGATTTGGTAAAATTTTTGATTGAATTTGTTTTAAATGATTTTCAGTTGCTAAATTTAATATTAATGAACGTAAATTATTAAATGGATTTAAATTAATATAATCTAAAGTAACAATAACAATACGTGTAATTTGTTCAGATAATAAAATATTTTCATATGTTTGATTTTTTGTTAAAACTAAACATAAATATCTAAGTGAATGAATAAGTTGATTAAAACGTTTATTTAAATTCCAAAAACCCGATAATAAATCATAAATTTGTGTATAACTAAATATTTCTATTATTAATTCATTTGGTAAATCTTCTAATAAAGTAAACATATCTAGAAAAATAAAACAATTCGAAGAAAATTATATTATGTATTATATTGTTTTATTTTAAGAAAATATTCAGATTGATTTTTATAAATTTTCGAAAATTTTTTCTTTATTTCAAGAAGATTTTGATCAATATCTGTTTGATCTATATTAAATAAATTAAAAATATAAATATAATACGTAAATTGTTTTAATAATGGTAAACAATGAATTATAATTGTTGATAACCAATCATAATTACGAAGTAAATCAATTGAATTTATTACAGAAAATAATTTATGTAAAGATAATCGTTCAATATTTGGCATAGATGAAAAAAGTATTTCAAATTTTTTTTCATTTTCAAACCAAATAATACTTGTAAGAATTAATTTCATTCGTTTAAGATTAATATAAATATTGAAATTCTTCGATATATTATTTAATGTTGGTAATATTAAATTTAAAGAATATAAATTCTGACAAGCATTTAAAATCGATGGATCAATAGATGTTATATATAAATATTGAAGATTTGGTGATTGAGTCCATTCAATTGTATCTATTGATAATTCATGTCCAGATAAAAAACAAGATTTTAATAATGGAAAATTATTAGAAAATATCTTTTGATATAATGAACAAATTGAAGAGTTTGCAATAGTATATGATACAGAAAGATATTCAAGATATGGAAAAGTTTTAGAATTTATTTGAATGATTTGTTCATCAGTTGGAAACCATATAATAAGACGATGAATATTAAAAAATTGATTAAATTTTATATTTTGTTTTGAATAAATATTAAGTGTATAAATTTGAGATGAAAATATTATATTATAATCAATTATATTATCAAAAGGTGCTTGAAAATAATAAGAAAGATATGATAATGATTGAATAAGAGAATTAAAACGAGAATTAAGATTATAAAAAATATTATAAAGTTCTTGACCATCGAAATATCCATATAAATCAATAAGAATTTCATTCGGTAATGATTCCATTGTGGATAAATGATTATTTATATTCATTTATAAAATAAAAATAGAAATTCGAGAATTTGTCAAAGTAAAACTTTTCAAAATTAATTTGCTAATTTTAAATAAGAGATGTGTGTCTATTTTTTGATTGAATTATATATTGTAGATAATTAAAATATGAATAACTTGAAAATTCAAGAATATTATCAATTGTTTGTTATGATGATAAATTTCATAAAATCTTTTAAATGATAATTAATTGGAATTATTAGTAGATAAATCTTTTGATTGTTTTACTAATAAATTCACTTGAAAATCGATTAAGATCTGAATATGTTAACAGTATCATTCGTGTCAAAATTAATTTAGCAAAATAAATCGACGGAGAATGAAAAGTAGATGATAAAGATCATATAGAGGTATCAAATACATCTGTTTTGGCCTCTATTTGCATATTGAAAAGAAGGTTATTGAGTAGAAAGTATAACGTAAATAAAAGTGTCTATGGCAAGTCTTCATGAAAATCATCTTTAATATTTATCATGCATTGTCATTTATCTAATAGAGATAAAAAGGTTTAAAAAAATAGTTTAATTAGAAAACAATTTCTAGGGTATGAATAATTGTAAATAATATTTAAATATAAATTATTCAAGAATAAAATTAAATAATGTTAAACATCGGTTATTTTCTTTTCCATTTATTTTATTGATTGATTCTTTCTCATATAAAATGTATTCAATCAAATCTAGCACATGATTTATTTTTGAGTTGTTGATATTTGTCTACTCATGATAGAAGAATATGACTCATTCAATTTCGAATATATATTTTTATTGCATAAAGATAATGACTATTGAAAACATGCTAAACATCCTTTATATGTCATTTTATATTTTTCTTTGGTTTTTCATCGAAAAATGTTCATATAAAATCATGGTTATCGAAAAACTATCAAAATCGGTATAAATTTTTCGCTATAGATGACGCTATACATCGCCTGTTTTTTCTTTCTTGCACTGACGTGCATATTTCTATGTTCTATTCAACATACAGTAACAGTAAACATTTTCGCCGTACCCTCACTGTAAAAACATCCTTATTTTAAGCTAAATACTTGACCAAATATTTTCTAACTGCTGACAGGCTGTTTATGCTATTTATATTATGCATGAGCATTCTCAAAAAGTTTCTTGCGATCACTCGAAAGTAGAGTGCTGCAGGATAGGCCTGAATTCCGAAAAATCTCCGTTTGTCACGAAGATTTTTCGGGACAGAACAATATAGAAAAGAACCAATGTTCTGAATTTTTTAAAATCTTTATATCAAAATGTGTCGTACACTCTAAATATTTTATTTCTAGTAAACATCTTAATATTTAATAAATAACAGAAAAAAAAGAACTAGACTGCCACTTGAAGAAAGCTCGAGTTGAAAAAGCGACTGACTGCACGAGTCCAAACAATATCAGAAAGCGATTTTATGCAACGCCTCCTATTTCTAAATCTGAAACTTCCGAAGTGAAGAGGAAATCATAATGTATTTCAATTGCGTTCAGCTATCCTGGCTTAGTTGACAAGTTAAGAGATAATGAATCTGAACCAACTATTGCCATATAAGAAAGCTCTTAGCAATTACTTATCATTTTTCATATTTTTATAGCCTCCGAACAGAATCGAGTTTACAAAAAGCACGGATTTCAGATGTACACTCGTCATATTCTCATGTTTTCGGCAAATTTTTTCTCATTTCAAAATGATAGTTCGGTGTAGAGAACGAGTGGCTGACTTGAGTCATGACTAATGCGTCGAATAAAAGGATTTGTCATGACAATTAAGCAAACTAGACCTCCATCCGGCCCGAGGCCGGCTAGAATAGTCGGCTGACTGCAGAGCCCGAGAAATATCGAAATCTGATCTTCTACGACATCTACTATTTCTAAACCTAAGACTCATCTAGAGGAAATGATAACGACTTAATGAACCTGAATCATAGATTTCCATATAAGGAAGCTCTCAGCTGTTCATTATCGTTCTTTGTATCTCATGTGTATAAACCATGCAGAGATTTTTTTAAACGTTTTAGACTCCTTCTTGGATGAATTTAAGCTATGCAAAACGATAATTAAAGTATATATGCACATGAGATCTGAGTAATGAATGGTCTTTCAAAACTGAGTCATCTATAACCATATAAGAAAACTATCAGCTGTTAATTATCATTTTTGACATTATTTATATCTCCCGAACGGCGTCGAATTTCGAAAAACGGATTTCAGATGTGCACTCGTCACGTTCTCAGGATTTCGCCAAGTTTTTTTCAACTGAAAATGATACTCAGGAGCTGAGAACGAGTGGCTGACTTGAATCGGGACTCATGCGTCGAGAACACGGAGAAGAAGAAGAAGAAGAAGAAGAATTTGCCATGGCAACTAAGCGAGTGAAAAGCAATAAGTCGGCTACTGCACTTCGTGCAGTCAGCCGACTTAATGAAAAGCAATAAATTGACTACTGCACCTCGTGGATTTAGCCGCCTTTCAGTCAATAGGAGAAATGAGATTCAAAACATGAAAAAGTTTGCCCCACAGGACTCTATTCGAAAGGCCAATCTTCCAAAAAGTTCAGTCCTATTCTTCAATGAAAATAGAGAATCTATCGGTTGTAAACACATGAAATACCAAATGTTTAACATAAATTAAACAAATACATTTGGATTTAGATGCAAAAAGCAAAATTCTTACATTAACACCCATCAATAAGCATAAAATCTGTTTAGTAGAGTAATTTGACGAACGATGTATGCGACAGTAGATAAGACGTTAGTTGAGCAAAATGTACGATTTACACAAGGAGGAACGACCAAGGAAAAAAATAATCAACAGATATATCAAAAAAACGAGGAAAACATATGGTACAACAACACTAGATGTAAACTTGCTTAATTTAACATATATCAATCTTATATCATCTTTTTTAGATGATTGTTAAATGAACATTCATAATCTTGTTGTTTCTTGTATTCAAAAAAAAAGCATCGATTGATCAGAATAACTGTTTAAAAAAAAAGAAAGATGAAATTAGATGAATTATTCTGTGAGACATTCGTCTCAAAATAATTTATTGAAGTTTATTATCCCAACAATGGAGAAAAAAGGGGAAAAGGGAAAAAAACCAATGCATGCTGATTTAGTAAACTTGAAACAAATAGATGCACCAATCACTATAAAATATAATGAATGTTAAAATAGATTAAGAATACGTATAATTTGTTGATAACATGTTTACATAAATTTATGTTAACAGTTATTTATCCGCTTCCAATGGAACGTCATCAACCGCGACTGCCTCAGATTCGGATTCGCTGCGTTCTATAGTCTCACTTTCGCTTTTAGCTATCTCTTGTTGTT